AAAAATCAACCTAAAATCAACCAAATATGAACGTCTAATCATGTTGCACCTTGACATTGTGTGGACGTTACCACTATGACATCTATCAGACGTTGGATTTTGATCACTTTCCAACACAACCTAAAATTAACCAAATATTAACGTAATTTGATGTCATTATTGGAAATCAAAATAACAATGTCCTTAGACACTAGACATTGAATTTTGGTCACCAGACGTCACAACCTAAATCTAACCTTATATTAATGTCTTATGATTTTGTGTACCTGCTGGGAAGGATTATGAACCAATGATCCTGCAAATGTAAGACTTCTTTAAGTAAATGAACACGGCAGTTTTGAAAACTGGAAAGCCTGTGTTAAAAAGGAGGTTTTGAAAATTGACATCAGGGTTCTGAAATTTGTGGATAAACAATTGGAAAAATCTGTAAATAAATACCAAAACTCAACTACAGATTTATTCATTTTAAAAACATCACTCAAAAAGCATTTAACATTTCATCACATCCGAAATGTCAAATTGTTCAAAAAAGCTTTTGAACATTAGAGAGTTGAAAATGTAAGCATGCAAAAATAACCACAGTACTGCATGTGGCCATGCTTCAGAGCACACCGATTCACACTCAACTTCTCACTCTAGAAATTTTGTATTCAAAAACTGTTACTGACGTGGCAGCTGTGTTGGCAATGACCTAGGTTGACACAGAGGAATATAGACAGAAAAAGAAAGACAAAAGAGGCAATGTTAGCCTTGATTTGGCAGTGTGTTGAATGATAATGCATCGACGTTCATTATATTAACAAATAATGCAAACTGCTTCACGTGGCCTAAAGATCTTGCATCTTAAATCTGAATATATTTGAATAATTTGGTGGCAGTTCACCTGTAAAATTTAAACTCTGTCAGTATATTTTGACATTTTAAACCTGACTTTTTTTCTTCAGTGGAACACAAAAGAATATATCGTGGAATAATGTCACAGTGACCCTTTTTCCATGCAATGAAAGACTTTCATTGTATAGTCAATTAGAGGGAAGTTAAATACTTTTTTTTTTATGCAGAAGAAAGAACTTTTAGCAATGGCCTCTGGAGGTGGGTAAATGATGACCTTAAATACAAGTCCAAATATACACTACCGGTCAAAAGTTTTATTTAAATTTTTTCATGTTTTTCAACTATGAAAACAGTTCTGAAAATATGCTAAACTGTTAAATATTTATTACAATTTTAAATAACTACTCTCTTATTGTATGTTATTTCAAATGAAATGATTACTCCAGTCATTATGGATTTTATTACTATTAATACCTAATGCTTTTAATACCAATAATAATAATTATATTAATAATAATAATAAATATAACAATAATTAATATTAGAGGGATTTCTGAACAATCGTGAAGCTGAAAAATCATCTTTAAAATCACTGGAATAAATGATTAAATTAAATGATAAACTACTTTTGAACAGTTTTTTTATGTTGCAACAATGTTTCACAATTTTACAATTTATTCTGTATTTCTTTTATGAAACAAATGCAGAATCCAACTGACCCCAAACCTTTGACCGGTAGTGTATGCTTCTTATAATTTGTTGTTCTGTGATGTAGATCAGAGTGGCAAACTCAGTTCCTGGAGGGCCGCAGCCCTGCAGAGTTTAGTTCCAACCCTGCTCCAACACACTACCTGTAGGTTTCAAACAAGCACGAAAGGACTCAATTAGTTTAATAATGTGGGTTTAATTAAGGTTAAAGCTAAACTCTGCAGGGCTCCATCCTCCAGGAACTGAGTTGGATACCCCTTATGTAAATGATAGTTATTACTGGCTACATTTCTCATCAGAATGACGTTCTGGTTTGTTCTTAGAACAGATTGATTGACTGGAGCAGATATTTGGCTGCAGCGAGACACACAGAACACTGGAGCTAAATAAGTCTCATCCTCTCATTCAACAAACTAAGCAATCCAGTGATGGTAAAGTTAATTTGAACTATTGCAATTATATAAACCCTTTTAGACTATACGTTTGGAATGTTCTTTACTAGTCATTAGTATTAGACTGCTGGCTTTCTTTTTAATAGGTTTCCTAAATATATATCAACTGTTTTCTATTTTATTACTAATAGATTTATTCTAACAGTTTACTAAAACACAGCTATCACTCTGCAATAAGAAATTAGTTGACATAGTTGCAAAGTATCAAAATAAAATGTAACCAAATAGGGATATCTAATACTTCTTACTCTTTATGAAATGGCAACTGGAAAAAAATATATGTTTAAGTACTAAAATTATGCAAATGTAAATAAAATATATACTATATTATATACTATATATAAAAACAAAATCTAAAATAGACAAAGCACACAAAACTAATATTAAATGAAGTCTGGAAACCAAAATAAACAGTAAAACAATATATAAAGAAATAATAGCAAATAAATAATATAAAATAATTCTGAACAATTCATACTCAAGGATGTCATTAAAAAGCAGATCAAAGACCACCTGAACACCTAGATTAACAAAACGAAAAGTCGATGAATGCACGTGCTCTGCTCAGCTGTGCATGTGATGTTGCCTAGCGGGAATTCTGTTCCTGTGAGCTGCAAATAGAGGATGGAATATGTGACGGCATCATTGCAGTAGGACTTCATTTGGGATATACTGTTACAGGAGCTGTGACATTCTGAGCATTTTAAAAAGAGCCAACGGGCACACATTTGCAACCATGTTCAATTACGGCTCAACGCTGGGATCTTCTGGGAGTCTGTTCACTTATTTTTAAACAGAGAAGACACATTCCCTGCTGAAAACACTAGCAAAAACCAACAATGGTGGTCTAGACTGTTTTTTTTTTTTTTTTTTTTTAGTGTTGATTATGGAGAACCAGCATAATCCTCAAAATTTGAATGAAATGGAATGCAAAATTGGTTAAATCTGCTATAAACAAGCCATAAGTGTCTGACTACAATTTTTAACTTTTTGCGGCAATTATATAATGAAACAAATCTAGCCAACAGCAAACTGACCCCAACAAATTTTCAATAGGAATAAATAGCACAAACACAGAAATTGAAGCTATGTAGGCAGCAATGACAGAATGCACTTCAACAATTGCTGAAAGTGAAATTCAACCAAAGTGAAGGACAAAGTGTCCATTTAATAGGAACATGGATCACCAAAATGGTGAATGAACTCTTCAAATACTGTTCTAGCCTTTCTAGAATCATACCAGCATCCAGATGACAATTTTTTTTTTGTCTACCAGTGCATCAATATCTCATGGTGAGGACCAGAAAACCCAAAAAATCCCAAACTGCTACCAATGTTAAATAACGTATCTTATGCTGGTGGCTAACATTGCTGATTATTTCAACATGGTAGTTGTGACAAAAAAAAAACTGCTCCTGGAGAGCCAAAACAGAGCCAAGAAATCAAGAACTTCAGACTCATTAGAAACATCAAGACAGATATGCTAGTAAGCTGGTTTAAACTAAACTCTATAGCAGAGATGCCCAAACTAGGGCCCGCAGGTAAAAGTTGTCTCATGTTAACCTTTAATTTATATAAGAATGTTTAACAGGGCAAGGAAATTTTCACAATATGTCTGATAATTGTTTTTTCTCATAATCTACAGAACAAACCATCATTATACAATAACTTGTCTAATTGCCCTAACCTGCCTCATTAATCTAATTCACCTAGTTAAGCCTTTAAATGTCACTTTAAGCTGTTTAGAAGTGTCTTGAAAAATATCTAGTCAAATGTTATTTACTATCATCATGGCAAAGACGAAATAAATCAGTCATCAGAAATGAATTACTAAAACTATTACGTTTAGAAATGTAAAAAAAATCTTCTCTCCGTTAAGCAGAAATTGGGGAAAAAAATAAGCAGGGGGGCTTATAATTATGACTTCAACTATATAAATACACACACATGCATAAAAAATGCATTCATTCATTCATTCATTCATTCATTCATTCATTCATTCATTCATTTATTTATTTTCTTCCATCTATCAATGCTGAATTAATGATGATTGTTGAGTTAACCTTGTTTAATATATTGTTTTAGTATGGTTTCAATTATGGGAAGATTAGCCATGTGAATAAATGCTTTTTATTACATTTTTTCCACACCTTTCGAGTGCCTTGGACTGATTTTTGTTGTTTGTTTTGATGAATCCCTTGCCCAAAGAGCACTGATATGTTCTGCTTGACCAGTATATTCAGCATTGAACTCCAGTGTTATAAATGTGATTGTTTATGTTTTTATTGCAATAGTTTATCACTTAAAAAGTTATACTGTATTAGTTAACATGATTTAAAGTAATCTTTTCTATTTATTTGAAAATATTATGAAAAAAAAATCTGAAATTTCACATCAACTTGTAGTATAATATAGTTTGGTATCTCAACGGTTCTCAATCATATTTAGTTTTTGGCCCTTTAAACAAAAAAGTTTGGGCACCCCTGCTCTACAGGATGGAAGCTGGATTGGACTTTTCTGATTTAAAAAAGATGAGACCAACTACTAAAAAGGTTAAAGTTCCATCTTTAAAATATTGGCATAATTTATAAGCCAACTTGAAGCTTGGCAATCCTCATCTGACTGCGAGATGTAGCTCTAACACTAAAATAATCATAGTATGTTGTCATTTGGAAACAGCTTACATTCATAGATACAGATACGACTACACCAGGCCTTGCTCGTGTTGCAGGCAGCAGGGTGAAGTGAGCGCAACAGAGCATTGGTCCATTTGCAGCCAAGTACATTCCCAGATGATCCGTTGCATGTGAGAGCGGAATGTACAGAGGTAATGATGGAATGTTCTGAGTATTCTCTGCCAAAGTTTTATACCACAAGAATACAGGTAAGACTAATGCCTCCATGGCCTGTTAGTGAAAAGTGAGCACTAGCAACTAGTCTGTTAAAGCAAATTTGGTGTAATTGCATAAAGATGCAGATTTGTGGATTAGGTGTAACATTACATACCCCAGGAATGGCAGGCCATTTAGACTGTCTTGTTGCATGACCATTTCCCTTAAAGTTTCTGCTGAATACAGGCCTATAGGAGAATTATACTGTCCCCTCTGGTTTGGGGTGGTTTTCATCCCTTGCCCGAATGGCAAATAAGTTGGGACAGGGCTTTTAGCCGGAGAATGAATTGCATTCTCCTGAGGTTTCTCCTCAGTGTTTGGAATAAGAGATTTTTTGGAAGGCTTTTTGGCTAAGAGGATGCCATATTTTTTGACAGGTTGCTCTTCGTCTTCTCCATCCCCAGTGTCTGTAGTTTCCTTGGTATAAAATAAACCATTAGATCAGAACAACTAATTGAAATGTCAAGGCATAGAAAAAAAATGTTTGCATAGAATTAATCAGGTAACTACAATGCAAATGAAAATTGGACCAACAGGAAACTTATGAGGATTTCATGTGAGGTGTTTATTGTTGCTTGACCAACAAATGCCTGCAGAGGGAGTTAAGTGTCAGCTTTACAAGGAATTATTGTTTTTACAATCCCCCCTTCCTTTTTTCCTCCATGCAATGGGCTCAGAAATTCCCATGACTTACTAAGAGGATTATATTGAAATGGTTTGCCTTTACACACACACACACAAAAAAAAACATTGGGTTTCCTTTAGAGTATTTGTGTCATCCATACAAGGTAAATATATTTGAGTCCTAATTTATGCCATACAAAATACACTGCCCTATCTCCCCACACCACCCCAAGTAACAAGAGTAGCTTATCTTTTTTTTATTATTATTAAAACCATGTCAGAAGACGCATTCTGCATGAAAATAATGTTATCTGTATCAGAATGGTACAATTTATTGGATTTAGTGCAATTATGGAGAGACACAGCTCTGCACAGTTTTGCTTCAACCCCAACCAAACATAGCTGATCCAACTAATCAAGGTGTTCAAGACTACTAGAGACTATTAAGCAGGTGTGAGTTGGAGGTGGTTGGAGAAAACTATACAGAGCTGTGGTCTTCCTGGAACTGAGTTCGAGAATATTGATCTAAGGTGATTGCTGGAACTACAGGCTAAGAACTGTCATGCATTTTTAAAACTGGAAGGATAACAGGGAACTATCATACTTGACATTTTAAGAAACCACATCAAAAAATGTGGTAGAACTCATGTTTAATAGTGAAAGTCAGAGCATTTCTATATGCACAGATTAAAAGCAAGTCCAGGGATTGGGACGAAACAGCTGTGTAGCCTTAAGAAAACCATTTAATCAGAAAAAGGGCTTCGATTTGCAGGGAGCATAAAGATACAGTAGGATTTTATGCAATAGTGGAAGGTCATGTGGTCTGATGAGTCCAAATTTACCCTGTTCCAGAGTGATGGGTGCGTCAGAGTAAGAAGAGAGGCAGATGAATTGATGCACCCATCTTACCATACACCATGGCCTTCATACAAGCTTATGGCGGCCAACAATGTAATGTGCCATATTCCATAATAACTATGCCAGGAATCGTCGGGATCAAATTGTGAAAGAGGAGCATGAAACATAGGAGCATGAAACATAATTTTTACACATGGAATGGCCCTTACTGAGCCCAGACCTCAAACTTATTTAGAGTCACAAGGTCTTGGCAAAACAGTAATGCAACTCTGAACTAGATTATATGTGTGACATTTGTAGAAGCATATTAAAATGATACCATGGCAAATACATCCTGTAAATTAAGCTAACGGCAGTCCAACATAATATTAGTGTCTAATTTACTTATTTATTTATTTGGACAGGCAGTGTATCAAAAGATCAGTTTAATGTGTATTATTAGGATAGGGAACATTTTAGACAGACAGAACATGACTTTACCTTCTGGTGAGGGATGACTGGCATGGGGGAGTCCATTCTTGGAGTGGCTGTGGGTACTGGAGCGGGACGTCTCGACCTGGGACCAGTACAAAATTCAAGGCAAAGGTCAATGGCACAAAATGTCAGCTTTAAAAAAAAAATGATGAATGAAAGTATTAAACTTATTAGTTACTGGTTGTAAATATATGTTTTGATTATTTTGATAATCCCCTTTAGACATTGTTGACTTTAAAACCACATTAATATCTAGTAACAAGAGTACTAGCAGACTATTTGCTTAACAATTAATTTTTATGATCCCCAACAGACATTCTACTGATCATAAGTAACTTTTCAAGTATTTATCAAGTTATTCTGCTAACCAAACAGTCTACTAAAACTTTAGTAATACTCTCAAATTAAGTTTAGTTGGAATGTACTGCAGTTTCAAAGTTAATTACATAGTCAAGAGAATAACTATCAGAAAATGTAAATAAATTTAATTCTTCAAATCATAGTTATTCAAGGGCACTTTAAACACAAACTATTGCACATTAAGAATTATATTTAAGAATAAATAGTTGTAATTCAACATTGAATAAATCTGAAACTCACAATTTTTAAAACGAGAAACAATATATATGATTAATATTAGATATATATTTAATAATGACTAAAAAACATTGATTCATTCATTTTCCTTTGACTCAATGCCATTCCAGCCACATGACTAAAAAATAGTTATGTTTCAGTTATAATTTACATCATATTGTTACTGTTTTACAAATGAATGCAGTCTAAAAAATCACCCAGTCACCTCTACCTTTCCTCTTATTGTTGATTGTCTTATTTGTAAACCATGATTTTATTTTTTTTTTAAGTAAAAATTCTTCAGTCCCAAACTTTTGAGGGGTAGTGTATCTAGCATATATGAACAAGGAATGAGCATGTTTGAATTGTTTAAATGTGAACATGAACTACATTAAAATGAAAGAGTTTGCTGGTGCAGCATATCACTTTAGAGATGTCACCTCTCAAAGACAGTTCAAAGACACGAGAGCTATAAGGAATTTTTGTGCAAAACACTCATCATTTGACCTTTGACCTATATTGAAATCATGCCACAATCAATTATAAGTGGCTAATACATAAATTCTATAAATGCTTGAAGCACTGATTAAAAAAGAACTTAAAATGAACAATAAAAAACCCTCATTGAGTGACCTCTCAGTAAGAGCTCTTGTGAAGCAATAGCAGCATTTCTAAACAGGCAGCAACACTTGAGGGCTTTTCACACGTCACTAGGCAGAAGAAATTTCTTGGAATCCATCATCAAGTGAAGTCTTGGGGAAATACATGCATAACCTGTCATTCCTTGTGAGATGCTTTTGACTGGAGAGAAGCATAGAAAGATGATAGAGCTACATAAATCCATAAGTCCAATCTAATAAAATGCAGCGACTAAAAATATAGGTTGTTTATTGGTAATGATGTTTCCATTAACAACATCGATCATTCCACAGAATGTTTTTTTTTATAGTGGATAAAGGTTCTTAAGATTATTAGTTTGCTCTTCACGTTAAGAAAAAAATATTTCTTTTATGGCAATGCTGCAAAAAAAATCCCTTTAATCTTTTTAAAATCCCTGTGAAACTAAATAAATCTTTTAGATGTTGAAGTTGTAATTTATTGTGTGCTCTAAAACAGTTGCTCCCATTTCAGTGATTTCTGAAACTCAAATAAATTGTATTAAAATATAAGATATATTTTTTTGCAGCAGATTGATTTTAGGGGCCAGGTTAAACTTTCTGACAACCTTTTTGGCACTCTAATACATTAAAAATAAGATATTCGAGGTCAAAATTAAATTAAATTAGTAAATGACTATAACAACTTATATGGTTATTACTCTGTTGCATTTTTGTGTTGTCAATATGCTCATGTCTATCTATGTCTATAGTTGTATGTGCAACGTTTGTATATTTTTAACCGTCTTTGTGAAAAATGAGGGTCGTGAGTCACAGACATTCTTATTTTAGGGGTCGTGTGCTGAAAAATTTTAAATCCCCTGCTCTAAAACGGTCAGACAGTCTAAAGAAAGTCTGTTTATTATGTTAATACTGCTCCTTCAACAGACATTTAACTGACTATAAGAAACTTTTCAAGTACATGTCAACTTACACTAATCCTAACCTAACAGTCTACTTATAATCTAATGAGAATCTTTTGGCATGTAGATGCAATGTAGCTTAAATTCAACAAACGGACTATCAAAATAAAGTGTGACCAAAGTCAGTTATTAGAAGTTAGTTATTAAATCTATCATGTTTAGAATGTTTCCTTCTTTCTGTTAAACAGAAATTGGGGAAAATATACAGGCAAATAATTCAGCAAGACTAATAATTCTGACTTTAACGGTACTTCCTATATTTTGCATAAAATACACAACAAAACAGAAAAAAACATCCAAATGAATATAAGAGCAGCTTCCTCAAACTAATAAAGATGGTATATGTCAATAAATAAGGAGAAGGCTAAGCTTCAGAAGATCACTCACGATGGAAACACACAGTCAGAGGAGTGTAGCAGCTTATGAATGTGAACACTAGAGCCAGCATTAGGAAATGTCACTTGGGAGCTGAGGTGTCTTTGTAAGTAACATTTCCTCTCTTTGCTGTAGAGCAGGCGGCCAGATGAAAGGGCTTAATCTCATTTCGCGCAGAGGCTTTGGGGTGTACGTACTAAATTAATAAAGTGTATTAAAAAAGGCAGAAAACCTTTCCAAATGTAATTTCCCTTACCTCCTAAACATCAATGGCTTTAATTCATGCATACAAGCAACCTGAAGGACTTCATGAGACTCCGGTGATTTATCACAGACATATTTTTAAAATTCAATTGTCCTGCTGGTATATTTATATGCTAACCATCACTTGTAGTCTGTGTCGGCTCAACGCTGACTGCTTATAATACTCACATTCAAGCTGTTTAAATTGCAGAGAACTTTTATTGCTTTCCAGAGCTGTTTGCTGCCAAAGTAAATTGTTTATGCTCTAAAGAAAACCCATTCAGTGAGCATAATAGGAAATTGTCTGACCAAAGTGTTCAGAAATATCAAAACGCTTGAGGTGGTCTGTAAACACATTATCGTTGAGGTTTACCTCTGCATGGTGAGGCTAAGTTTGGTGGTGGCTGCCTTTATCTTGTTCTGGGCCTCCAGATGGGTCATGCCTTCAGTGCTGACCCCATCGATTGCTGTAATGATGTCTCCCTGATTGAGGTTTCCACTCGCTGCCTTGCTGCCTGGTGTGATCTGTGGACACACAGCAATTAATTAATTGAACAATTACAAATTGCACCACAGGCTGAATTTGCAAAAACATCAATGTAAAATCCTTGTTTGTTTGCAATCATTTCAAATTAATTTTCACACTACGCTTGCACACATTTGCATGGTACATCGGTCACATTTAATTACTAACTTGTCACTTTCTGAGCAGATGAATGCATGGTAAGCATTGACACTTTTCTTTATAAACAATTGTTAAAGTGACGATGAAATCATATGTATTTTTCTGTTGTATGGATTATTGCAGGATTTATAATAAACTATCTATCTGTGCACATCCTTGCTTTCTTTCACTCCCTCAATAAGATCACAGCAATAGCAAATGAAAACCATAAAATCATCTAATCAAACATTTAACTGAAGTCCTGTGCTCTGCTTTTTTCCTGTTTGCAAAGCTGTTTCATGAATATGGATGACGAAATCTGCAAAAACAATAAATGAATAAATACGCAAATGTATAAATAAATGAGTAAATAAATACATACATTTCTGCATGAACAAATCAATGGATAAATTTGCAAATAAATAAATAAATGTATATATAAATCCACAAATTTAGGTAAATAATAAAATAAATTACATGAATACGTCAATGCTAAACTAAAAACGTTTATTCATTCTTGAACGTAGTTGCGTACAACCCATTCTCACCCCGAACTGAAGCATGGTCAAGTACCTTGACGCCTTAGGGATGAGAACGAGTTGTTGTGTATTTACTTTTCCTCAGCGATAATGCCTAATGAGAGGCTGTTTGTCAATCATCAGAAGCCAATCAAAAACATTTAATGCAAAATTTTTCTAACGATCAACCAATGATGGCATAAAGACCGCCTCTCATTAGCATGTTGAGGTGAGGAAAAGAATCAACTTTCAGTTTAGCATCTTCTTACTCCCCGACATTCATGTGACTTATTTACCTGCCTGCACTATCGATTGTTTAGATATTTATTTGTGCAGGAATTTGTGGATTTTTTATATACTGCATTTTTATTTTTATATTGTTTTATTTATGCAGAAATGTATGGATTTATTTACTCATTCATTTATACAGTTGAAGTCAGAATTATATATATATATATATATATATATATATATATATATATATATATATATATATATATATATATATATATACATAATCAAACATACTGTAAAAATTTTCTTGATCTGTTAAACATCATTTGTGAAATATTTAAAAAAGAAAAAAAATCAAAGGGGGGCTAATAATTCTGACTTCAACTTCATATTTGATTTTTTATTTTTGTATTGTTTTGCAGGATTCATCCGTCATTCATTCAGGTATATCTCACAATAGGTAATGTTGTCAAAGGTCCAGCTGACGTTAAACAAATGGTACAACATTTGGGATCTTGAAAATGGAAATCATTTAGTAAATAAAAAGTGACCTCCCAATAAAAGCCCTTGTCAAATGAAAGCAGCATTTGTACACTGGAGGGCTTTTTACAAGTTAGTGGAAGCCCAATACCAAATATAAAGTTTTTTTTTTTTTCTAATTAAGTGACAGCTTAGTCATTTTGCATCTGCATGCATTTATTTAAACAAATATAATAAATTAGGATGATAGTAGGTTATGTAATATAAACAAAATACTTGGAAAAAAAAATCCTTACAGCATCAAATATATATCATTAAATTAAATATGAGCGTTCACCGTCTACATCAGATATGCAGTAAATTACACAAATAAACTCCTTATAATTAGTGATAAAGTCAAAACTGCAAAAATGGTGAAAGTAAACTATTTTTTTTTCCATTTTTTTACATGCTACATGTGCATACACTACTTGTGACAATAGGGCACGTGGATTTAGGACAAATATACATTTGAAGTCAGAATCATTAGCCCCACTTTGAATTTTTCTTTATTACATATTTTTCAAATTATGTTTAACAGAGCAAGGAAATTTTCACTGTTTGTCTGATAATATTTTTTTCTCTTTTATTTGTTTTATTTTGGCTCAAATAAAAGCAGTTTTTGTTTTTTGTCTTGAAAAATATCTAGTCAAATATTATTTACTGTCGTCATGGCAAAGATAAAATAAATCAGTTATTAGAAATGAGTTATTAAAACTATTATGTGTACAAATGTTTTGAAAAAATCTTCTCTCCGTTAAACAGATATTGGGGAAAAAATAAACAGGGGGGCTAATAATTCAGGGGGGTTAATAATTCTTTCTTCAACTGTACATTTTGGGATTTGGGAATTTTTATTAAGGAAACTTGATTACCAATATAATTTTTGCTATATGAATACAACAAAAGCAACACTTTTATAAATCCCCAAACCCCCTCCGAATAAAAGTAGGAGCATATAAAAAATTTAGTGATATTGGCAAATTTTGGTTTTAACCAAGACAGAGTGCATTGAAAATTAAAAAGATTTTCTCAAAAGCATTATCTTTTTATCTGCTGCACATCTAATGTTGGACGTACATACAATACTGATTGTACACACAGTACTGATGATCAGAAGGTCATATGTGCTTGTGCACATCATGTGAGTTCATGTGGAAATCATTCGGAAGTAGTAATACATGCTTTTATGATCTGGCAAATTCCAAAGCAATCACATGAAATTCTGCGCCAAAAACATGAACAGAGAAAGACATTATTTTGACTGCTTTGCGACTGTCTCTCGCTCTTTCTCTCTCTGTTTCTCTAATAAAATTTTATACTATTATGAACCATGAATGTTTGCAACAAAGACAGGTTCTTTTTCAGAAATGCAAAACCAGAACACCTAGTCTGCTGTAAGCTCAGGATCGGTGAATTTATGCTCCTGATTGGTCAGCTTTGTATGGTTTAACTGATCAACTCGACAAATTCAAGCCAACTGCTCCTAAAATGTTTGACATGTTTTAAAATGATCTGGAGCAGCTCGGCTAGGCTCATTAATTTAATACACACCATAAGAGCCATGATCATAATGGCATCAAAGATTTCCATGCAAATTCTCACAATGGGAAAAATCTAACACACATTTAGCAAAAATCACGTTATGCACGTCCAGCTTAAGAGAAACAAGTGAAATTTGATTTTAAAGGTCCTATGAAATTAAAATAAAGTTTTTTTTAGATGTTAATATCAGTATTGTTAGTTTAGTTTTTATTGTTAGTTGCTCCAAAACAGAAAAAAAGAGCGTTTAGAAGATAAAATGATATGATATAAACATGTAAAGCCTGTAGTTTGTCACTTCCGCCTTAATTAAACAACGATTTTTTCCACAGCACCTCATACTTCAGTTTCTTATTGAATCATAACCAATGTAATGCTCTCCAGTATCTGACAAGCCCCTCACTCTTTAAGACGCTTCTCATTTGATGCACTTGATCTCAACCACACTCACTGGCAGAGTAGTGATAAAACAAAACTGTTTTTAAAAAGGGGGAGGGGCTAAACTATGTTCCACCCTCTCTTCATGTTTCGGCTAAGATTGTGCCTTAAACATCAAATAAAAATGCACATTTCAAAGCACTTCACGGGCCTTTTAAGTGTCTTTGAGCCCTCACTAACCAGTTATGAGTGTCAGCTCATACAGCACTTATATAATTTTTTAATTGATAGAAACTATTGTCTAAGGAGGACATTGTACAGTAGGTACAGTATAACAGTCTCTTGGTTGTTTTGTGACATTTTGCGTCTTCTTAGGCTCTTTTAATGCTTTCACACTGTACATGTTTGCTGCATTCATAAAGCATCCATGTCTTGAGGTCAGTCTGTCTGATGTGATTTTTTTGATGCACAGTTTGATTGAATTAATCCACAGAACTGATGTTCTATTTAGGCAAACACCGTAGACAACAAAAATAAACAGAGTAGTGCGCAGTAAAAGTACCAATGCAGCACTAAAATGTACTCAAGCAAAAGTATAAGTGCACATTTTTTACAATTGTACTATTTTTATTAATTCATACTAATTTGAGAATTAGTAATTTGCTGCTTTACACCACTGGTAAAGCATAACCTAAAGATAGAGTTACTATTACAAAGAGGGAAAAGCAAAAAAAAAAAAATGGTTTGAAAAGCAGCGCAGATGAGTGGAAAAACACACTCATGTTTGAAAAAGTACAGAAATCGGTAACCCTTTATAATTACACACTATAAACCATTAATTAAGCATTAGCAAATAGTGAATTCATTATTTGTTAAAAATTAACTCTACATTAACATATGTAAGCAGTTTATAACTACAGCTACAAATGCTGTATTCTTGACTTACAACCACATTTATAATGTGCTTAATTTCATACTTTGTTGATGATTTATTTTTCATTGCCTAATGAAGTATTGCATTATTTACAAACCAGTTGTATTTAAGAGTAGTTTGTTGTTTTTAAAGATAATTCAGAATGAGTTAGTAAATGATTAATAAACTATTCAGTTTAACATATGTCACTCTTATTATTCAGGCATATATTAATGGTTACTTTGTATGTTAATTATGCTTTATTAACTCAACTTGATGCAGTTTTGAAACCTAATCTAAAGTGAGGACTATTTATGCTTTATAAAACCCTTATAAATGACAAATATAGGCTCAGTTAAATTCTAAACAGGAAAAAAGAACATAAACAATATTATACACTCCTATTCGTTTGAAGATACACAAATGAAACTGTATCAAATAAAAAATAAATCTTTGCAACTTTAGTTGCACCTTTACTTTTTAGATAAGATTGTAAAGATTATTGTTAATTTGATATGAAGCCTTTATTTGTCATTTATAAGGGATTTATAAAGCATAGTCCTCACTTTAATAGGTCACAAAACTTCATGAAGTGAATGTAGCATTTATTAACATACATAGTAACTATTACTGTATGCCTTAATAATAAGATATATGGACGTTGATTTCAATAGTTTATTAATCATTTACTAACTCATTCTGAATTATCTTAAAAACCACTAACTACTCTTAAATACAACAAGTTTGTAAATAATGC